CCATCCCGGCTTCCCTGGCCCTCCAGAGCTGCCTCCGGGGCTGCTTGCAGCCGGTATTCCTCACAGAAGGAGCAATATTTCATCACCCACCAAACCTCGTTGGCTGCAGGACTGTCCATCCCGGCTTCCCTGGCCCTCCAGAGCTGCCTCCGGGGCTGCTTGCAGCCGGTATTCCTCACAGAAGGAGCAATATTTCATCACCCACCAAACCTCGTTGGCTGCAGGACTGTCCCGGCAAGGTCCTCACGGAAGGAGCAATATTTCATCACCCACTAAACCTCGTTGGCTGCAGGACTGTCCCGGCAAGTGACGTGGGTGCCCGACACCCCACCTCGTGCCTTCACTGCTGCCAGACCACGGTGCTGCCTGCACATTTTTGGGCTGAATCAGCTGCCTGCAGGCAGATCTCTGCCCGGGGACCGGGGGACAGGCAGGGTTCCCTCGGAGCCACGGGGGCTGTTGCTTTCCTGCAAGTGCCCTAACTCTCCTCTCGGTGTCCCAGCTATTATTTTCCAGCGCATTAGCTGGATTAATCCATTGCGGTTTACACAGGAGATCATGACTGGAAGGAATAAATTATGGTATTTTATGACCAAATACTTTGCCTGAAGCTGACAGTTGCTGGCTTTTAGTGCTGACTTTTATTGTACGATACTGCCAGATCTGAAAAGCCTTTACAATTAATTTCTCCAAGCACTGGAAACCTCTTTTCCAGCAAATTTTATAGAGTTTAGAAGGAGCTTGCTCACTTTGAGGGGCCGGAGGATTGCTCGGGGTAAAGACTTCCAGGGCAGGACATGGCAATCAAGCCCAGCAGTGGTATTTTAATTAAAATGTTGAATCGCAAACGGTGGTTGTAACGTCTGAATTTCATGTTCCCGGTGCCTTCTCCTGCTTTGGCAGATTTCCAGTCATGTCTGATATGCATCGCGAGACGATTACCTCGACCGGCAGCCGTCACCCCTTCCGAATCCTTCGTGACCAAGCAAGACACCACAGGTAACGTCCCGGCGATGCCGGGGAGCCCTGGCTCCGGAGGATTTGTTGTCCCCGGACGTCAGAGGCCAGCGGTGCAGCATGGTCCTGTCCTTTGCAAATGGCAGTGCTGCCTGCTAGGACCGACGTGGGTGACACCTCAGCTGGAGGCACCTCAACTGAGTTTACAGCTCAACTGGTCCAGTACAGCAGAGCCATGCCGGGCACGCAGCCCCGCTCTGCTCCGTCGGGTTTTTGGGGGTGTTGAGGTTGCTGGATGACGGGAATGAAACAGTCATCACCTTTCGGATTGGGGTTTGCTCTCAGCCCAATAGTGCTTTGTAGCCATTCTGGTGACCTTCTTTCTGGTAGTTAATCGTCACCCTGGACTTCCCCGCAGCATGAAAACCCTTAATGAGCATTTTCCTTGCTCGCTGCTCCCTGCCCATGGCTGTAAACAGCCCGCAAAGCTGTCTGGTGTTTCACGTCGAGGGAGAAAGCAGGCAGCAGGTCCAGGTGTGGGCAAGGTGGCTGGCAGGGTGTCCCACCGGGTGAGGGTGTCAATCCTGGGACCCCAGCCCTGGAGCGGTGAGGGTCCCTTCGCACAAAGGTGCTTCTTGTTGGGTTTCATGTCGGCTTCGGCTGGCCAAGGTGTGCGTTGAGGTGGATGGACGCTCCAGAGCAAACTCCTTGAACCTCCACCTCCTTCTGGAGGACCTCCTTGTGTGCTCCTGCCACCGCTGCCTGACGCAAACAGGAGGTGGCTTCATTTTCTACATTTATGGACCTATTTGTGCTGAGGGACTTCTCGTGCTTGAGTAACGTGGCTTCTCTCTCTCTTTCCGCCCAGGTAAAATTATCTCCATTGACACCAGTTCCCTGAGAGCCGCCGGCAGGACGGGCTGGGAGGATTTGGTGCGGAAATGCATCTACGCTTTCTTCCAGCCGCAGGGCAGAGAGCCGTCTTACGCCAAACAGCTCTTTCAAGAAGGTAACGGGCTCTTCTTCCTCGCCGGCGCGCTCTCCTGCCGAGCAGCGGGAGCTGCAAGGAGAAGCCAGGGCACGGTCCTCCTTGCTGGAGAAGTGATTTCTGGAAAAACAAATGCTGCAATAATAATTGCAGAGTGCCAAAGGGAAGAGGGGAAAGGGCTGAGTAACACTGGAGGAGCTCCTCCAGCCGGGAGGTTCCCTCGCACCTTTCAGGAAATACAGAATTGAGACAAATAGGAGCTAAATGCGATTATTATAAATTTTTTTTCCTGTGCCATCTGCAAACGCCATCCTCAGTGTCTAAGCAGAAGAAGTGGAAGCTCTTTCACGAGCATCTTTGCTGTGTCGACTCTTTCACGAGCATCTTTGCTCTGACAGCTCTTTCGTGAGCATCTTTGCTGTGTCGGCGAGGATGCTCCCAAGAGGGATGTGGGGAAGACAGGAACGTGGGAGCAGGAGGTCGCTCAGCCTCCGGAGAGCTGTAACTCTGCCAGGGTTGCAGCGGCAGCGTCCTGCTGCACCTTCCCACGCCGGCTGGGCTTCATCAGCTTGTGTGTCGTACGCTGGCGATTGAGCCATTGCCCCTTTGGAAGCTCTGAGCACTCAGGGACGGTGCTGGATGGATTTAGATTCACCCGCTGCAGGACACGGGTTTGGAGCTGGAGAAGCAGCTGGGAGGATATCCGTCCCGCCGTGGTTATTCGTACCCCTCTTATTCTCTGGGGTTAGCCAACATGCAGCGTGTGGTTTGTTTGCGGGGAAGGTGGTTGTCCCAGGCAGGTTCTCCCTCTCCTCTGCTCCCTCCATCCTCCTCCTGGTGCTTGTAGGGTGTTGTGGGTTCTGGTTTGAGTTTCTAAGGGGGGGTTCATGTGTTTCTGGTTGTCTCCTTCAGTGATGACACGCGGCACGGCCTTCAGCCCCTCCTATCGATTCACCTTGAGTGATGGGACAGTGCTTAGTGCCCACACCAAGTGTAAGCTCTGCTACCCCTCCAGCCCGGAGATGCAGCCCTTCATCATGGGCATCCACGTCATCGACAGGTACGTCCCCACCCCGCCACTACCGAGGCTTGCCAGGGCGATCCAGGAATCAAAGTGCCTGTTCCCTGCAGCAGAAGGAGGGTCCACCGGTGATCTGTGGTGCTGGTTCGGAGATGTGATCCCCGTGGGGAATCTGAGGCTGAAAACCAGCATGATGGCAGCTCTGTTGCTCTTTGATTATTCTTGTTTTGCAAAGAGGTGGCTCCGGGAGTTCAGGCGGAGGTTTATAGACGTGCTTCAGATTTCTGCCTTGCCCTGGAGAACTTAAAATACTTGGGGAGGGAGAGGCGCTGACAAACTGGCAGGACAGGGAGAGGTGAGGCTGAGGACCTGGGCTCTGCTGGAGGAACGCGAGGGGCCGGGGTGGAGGGGAATGCTGTTGGAGCATGGTCCTCCTCCGGCCATGTGGGAACGTAAGACCCAGAGAAGGCGATGCCTTCGGGGTTTAGCCGGCGAGCGGCTGCAATCCCGAGCAGCGTCAGGTTTCTGGAGGGATGCTGAAGCTGCTGCACTCCATCCATGCTACTGAAATGGATCCAGAAGCGCTGGTGGAGGGGGGCTTTAGAGCTCTGCAGCATGGACGGGCCTCTTGTGACTTTTCCTCTCCTTTTCGTCTCCCGCAGGGATCACGGCATGCTCTCACCCCAGGAGAACACTAACTCGGCGATGTCCCTTCCCCGGGTCAGCCCCTCGCTGAACCCCAGCATCTCCCCGGGGCAAGGCA